AAAAACAAAAGGGCTGTAGGTATGCAAATAAATGAACTAATTTCGATTTTATTATTGAGCGTGATATTTTAAATAAAACTAGTGGGATAGGTGGCATCGTGCCTTAAGGCAAATTGCTGGAACTTCCCGTTCCGTAACGAAATGTTCGAGGAATACTGAATGTTTTCAAATAGATTATTATAAATATTGTAATATTGTCTAATATTTATAAGAATTATATAAACTAAATTGCCAAGTTGAAATTATTTCTTTAAAGTATATTAGAACTATAGTCAGAATAAAAATAAAATCTGAATTATTTTCGAAATACAAAAAATTAAAAAAAAAAATTGAAACAAAATTTTTTTTTCCAAAATCAATTATTTTGTTAAGACAAGCAGAAAGTTCTTTGAATCATTCAAATCCGACGCTTAGTTCTCTCAAAAACTGCCATTTTTTACATATTTAGCTCCGAATCTTCGAAATGGCTGGGCCTGCCTTTGCCAAAAACTAATAAACACTTCTCCCAATCATTATTAATCAAATGTTTTTTAGATCATTCAAATCGGATACTCCGTTCTCTCAAAAAGTCGATTTCTATTTTCTGCACTCTTTGCTCCGTATCCCCGAAACGGCTGGACCTGCCTTTGCCAAAAACAAATCAGCTCTTTTCCCTATCGATAGGAATCGAATGTTTTTTGAACCATTCAAATCGGTTGATCCGTGCACCCGAAAACGTGACTGGAAATTTGTATCCATACATACATACACACACACACACACATCCATTTTTTCTGAGGTATGCCAAAATGTTCAGAAACCTTCAAAACGTCGAGAAATGTAAAAAATTTCAATTCCGATTTTCGGCCCATTACAATAACTTACCCTACGGGAAGTTAAAAATAGATCTTCACATGACTAACGGGTCAACTAAATCTTAAATATCACTAAATTATTATAATTATAAATTATTTTAAATATTTTATGATAATGGTTTCTCATAAGCCTTGACTTGTTTCTCATAGGTCTTATTTTTTTTTCAAATATAATACTAATGTTCTCAATTACATAATTCTATAATTAACACATTATGCATCATGTCAGTCACATGGGTCTGACGCTAGAAAGTTGTGACACATCGATTGCCTCCTACTTTGGAATATTATCGTTAAAAAATTCTATACTTGAATTTTTTGAGATAATGGTGGTGTAACATTTAGCGTTCACCAAAAATTCGAAAGCAAAGTTTTTATTAAGATAACAATTATTTATATAGTAAATTAGCTCTATGCGAATTATAGACAATTGAATTATCTACGATACTTCTATTTACGAATTCCCACATTTACGATGATAAGATTGAATTCCAATAGAAAACGTGTCCAGGCACAACTAACGCTTCCACGAAACTTTCGCAAACACATGTGATATATTGTATGATATCAAAAGCGCCCAAATAGCATCACGCTTTATATTTGACGTTTATATTGAATGTTTACCCATGTATTTTCTGACGTATATATTAAATGGATTTCTCAAACTTGTTGGAATTACAATAATCAGAATTGAAAATGATAAATTGTACTTTGTATCCTATATGAATTTTTATTTGTTAAAGAATATGAATAATTAAAGTAACTTAACACGTTAAACGCCACGTTAAAGGGCCATGGTAAATTTATTGGGTAATATTATAAAAATGTATCAAGAAAACTTAATGTACAAAAGAAATTTTTTTCGGAAAGTTTCTTGAAAAAATGCTATTTTTATGTCACACAAATATGACTGACATGGCTCTATGTAAAACTTTTTTTCTCCTTCTATTGTGTATGTCATAACTTTCTAGCGTCAGACCCATGTGACTGACATGACGTTTATTATAACTGAATATAATTTTCAATTATACGTTATTTAATTGGTTTATAAGATGTACTGTTATTTTTAAGTTAGATTCAACAGTTTTTTATATATTATCTCTGCAAAAGCTTATACTTGTGGGTGGAAAAGGATTAACTAGATCTTTACATTAGCAAAGATATAAACAATGAGAAAATAGTAAATTAAGATTTAATTTACTTAAAAAAAACAATAAATAAATGTATAAGGATAAATTGAATTAATAGTTTTTTATTTTTGCTGATGAATATTTCACACTAAATACCAGATCAAGGTTATATACAACGTAACATTTGTAAAATAATTTAAATTAAAAAAGGGTTAAATAATTCAGCCTTTCGTAATTAAAATTATAAAAAAGGGTTGAATAATTCAGCCTTTCGTAAAATCCCTTTAAAATTCAATTTAAGGCATTGTATTTGTTTGTCCGATCGCTGTTCCTTTTTACCCAACTGATGGAGTAAAAAAAACAGGTGACAAACTTTAGGAAAATAGCCAAAGAACATTTCTATAATTAGCAATTTTACTGAACATAGTTTGATAGTTGTTTGTTTGAAACGTCCTATTTGTTGTGATAAAATTCATTTGGATTAGACACTATACTGAAAGTCAAACTGGACCTTTGTGCTTCATCCTACTCTATAATATTTATAAATATCCAATACAAACAAATTTCAGAAAAATAACAAAATAGGTTTTCTTGTAATTACTGAAAGTCAAACTGGACCTTTGTGCCCCATCCTACCCTTTAATAATCAACAAATATAATTCAAATTGAACATTCAACATATTTATTTCCAATAATTATTCAATTATTCATTAATTATTTCCAATAATTAAATTCCGTCATCACATTTTAATTGATATTATTGACGTTAACGAGACAATTTCAAATAATTTGAATGATATCAAAGCAGATATCAGTTTTCAATTGATGTTCCTGTGTAGTAGTTTGCAGAAACTCCATTCACGCACTCATAGTCATCATCAGTGTTGCAATAAGGGCCACAGGGCAGAGATTCGTAATCAAATTCGATGTCAAATTCAGTGGGTTGCGGAAAGTGAAGAGATGGGTTTGGATTTGTGGTCAAGGGAGAATGACTGATTGAACGATCGGATAACAATTCTCATCAAAGGTTTACCATGGGATATCTAGATAAATTAGTAGAGGAAATTTGAATAATTGGTGCCAGAACTTGGAACAATTATTATATGCTGTGCTAATATGTAATGGATTTAAAATCATATCAATAATACTATGAAAATTGCTATTTTCAATCTTATTCTTTTATCTCAGCAAAACTTATCGAGCTTATTCGTCAAAAAGTGTTTAGGAGGAACTACGAAACTTCCGACATAACTTTACATTGTTTCAGAGAATTTTAGACTTCGTGATATGAAGTTATTTGCGCCGGGGAACCATATCACGTTAAAAGCTTCCTGCATATAAAAAGAGAAACGTGTGGCAGTTGAACTTCACTAACTGCTAAAAGTTATGAAATAGGTCATCGAAAATAGGTTTATCGAAGACCGACCATTCGAATAGAATTGATTTATGCTAATATACAATATACTACAGTCCCTTGTCAAAATAAACACGTAGCTTATGCCCACAGAAACTGTGTTATTTATTCATAACATTTGATTTATTTGGATATTTGATTTATGTGGAATCCCGGAAATTGAATATTTGTTTGGAATTCGATCAAATGTCAGTAATTCTATAGGGACATTAATTAATCATTAAATTTAAATCATAATTATATTTGTATTATCAGAATGTCATTATCGAGCTGTCTATATATTATTCTGCCTAATGGGCATCTACAATTTATTGGAATTCATGTAATGAGTGATGTTCAACCGTTAATTATAAAATCCTGTGGATAATACTGCAGGATTATAATTTTAAAAGTAATGAAATATTGGGAATTTAAATTATTAATATAGTAATGAGGTGTTAAATGGGTTAAATGGGTAGTATAGAAACTAAATATTTGACATATTCATTAAAAAATAATTAAACTAGTGGGGTGTATGGCATCGTTCCTTAAGACAAATTGCAGGAACTTCCCGTATCGTAACGAAATGATCGAGGAATATTAAATGTTTTCAAGTAGATTTTTATAAATAAATACTGTAACATTGTCTAATATTTATAAGAATTATATAAACTGAATTGCAATGTTGAAATTATTTGTTTAAAGTATATTAGAACAGAATTAAAATAAAAATCTGAATTATTTTCAATATACAAAAAAAAATTGATACAATTTTTTTTCCAAATTTAATTGTTTTGTTAAAACAAGCAGAAAGTTCTTTGAATCATTTAAATCGGACGCTTAGTTCTTTCAAAAACTGCTTTTTTTTGAACATTTAGCACTATATCTTCAAAATGGCTAGGCCTGCCTTTGCCAAAAACTAATAGCCACTTCTCCAAATCATTACTAATTGAATGTTTTTTAGATCATTCAAATCGGATGCTTCATTCTCTCAAAAACTCCTTCTATTTTTTGCACTCTTTGCTCTTTATCTCCGTAACTGCTGTGTCTGCCTTTGCCAAAAACTAATCAGCACATCTCCTTATCGATAGAAATGGAACAGACACACACATCCATTTTTTCTGAAGTATGCCAAAATGTTCAGAAACCTTCAAAACGTCAAGAAATGCAAAAAATTTCGATTTCGATTTTTGGACGATTACATTTACTTACCCTACGGGAAGAATATGTAATAAATAATTGATATATTTCATGTCTCATAAAATAACGATCCTAAAAAATATTATTAAATATTTATTTTATGCATTCCAAAGTTAGCATTTGAATGTAAATCTGGAAATTATCTAATATGAATTTATATTTATATTATATTATCAACAGTTGCATAAAATTCTCGACATAATAATGAAATATGTTTCGCATTTATGCCAATATAGTAAGTTTTTAAGATTATAATAAGTACATTAAATTTTTTATTGCTATATTTCAATGATTCTTTTAAACAAGAGATTTGGTAGCTATTCAAAAACGTCTTGTGGATTAATTTTAGTAACAATTCATTCAAATTTCATGATCTTTTATACCTTTAGTTAGTGAACAATAAAAGTCTATTTTCTTTCCCAGCTTCCGGCGATGTCGACGTCCTTAGCCGCCCTTCCAACAACGGGTCTAAGCCGAGAGCGTTGGCAGCATTTGGAGGAAGGCGATTTATTCATGGAATTAATTCGGGATATAGCGAACGAGTTGGACATCGATGTCCTCTGCCATAAGATATTGGTCAACGTCGGGTTACTGACACATGCCGACCGGGGGTCCCTGTTTTTAGCCAAAGGCGATCCCACCGATAGATATTTAGTGCCTAAGCTGTTCGATGTCACGCAGGATACATGTAAGTGGAAATTTTCATTTTTTTGGATTTTGGAATAATATTTAGGTCATGTTATTTATTATATGGCATTCGATGTGTTTCGTTAAATATATATTTATGGAAAAAATGTTATGAAAGAAATATTTATAAATATCAACATGTGATGGAAAATAACAAAATTTCTGAGTACTGATGGTATTAAAAGTGCAATACGCATACACACACACATATATATATATATGTATATATATATATATATATATATTAGGGTGGTCCTTAAAAATGTCATTTTCGAATTTCCTTGCTCCCAGGGGCTCAAATGGTTCCAAATTGATAAAAAACAATTGTCTGAAAGTTTTAGCTCTTAATATTAACGTTTAGATAGAGCGCAATTCAATCAAAGTTTGTATGGAAAGAGCAAGGAAAAAATTTTGAAAATTAAAAAAAAATGTTTTAGGTATAACTTTGCGACAAATGAATGAGTTTTATTCATTAATTTGTTCGCGAAAATACATCTAAAAAGCATTTTTAAAATTTTTGAAAATTTTTCCATGCTATTTCCATACAAAACTTTGATTGAATTGCGCTCTATCTAAACGTTAATATTAAGAGCTAAAACTTTCAGAGAATTGTTTTTTATCTATTTGGAACCATTTGAGCCCCTGGGAGCAAGGAAATTTGAAAATGACCATTTTAAGGACCACCCTAATATATATATATATATATATGTACATGTACCTATATATAAATATGTATTTGTTTTTGGACGTTTTTTGAAATCCATACGTATCGGATCATTGATTTTAAATTAAATCATCATGAATTGTAATATAAAGATAAACAATTTTAATTATTTTAAGATTTCTTTATTATTATTATTATCATTATTATTCTGAAATTGTTACATATCCTTTGGTTGACATTATTAAAGTTAACAGTATATTTCACTGAATGAAGGCTAGGATAGGTTAGCCGAACGTATGAATTTCGAATAAATTTTCAAAACATTTTTTTTTGACGTAATACCTGATCTTTAAACCTGACTAATATATTACTAGTATTTCTATATCATTTATGATTATATAAATATATATAACATCCTTTAGCTTATAGGCAATAGATGCCATGGTGCTTTCTGCGATAAAATTCATAAAAATTTAAAATTTTGTTACAAATCGATAACTTCATTTTCTTAAATCTCTCAATAAAATATAGACATTACGATCGGACATTTAAATTAATTGTGTCGATATTTTTTAATATCCGACGGTTGATTATGATACTATCACTTTCTAATTGATCCTAGTCGAGTAAAATGCAGAAAACCTGAAAATTTTGTAAAAAAACACGATTATATACCGTTTTATTAAATATCTTGATTAAAATGAAGATATCTTGTTCGAACTTTTCAAAATGTTAATAGCGTCGATTTATATCTGAGACTACCAACAATTTCCCATGTCCCGCTCTCGAGCAAAATGCGAAATTCATTCTTTTTGCCAACTAGAATGATCGTACAAAATTTTGATAATATTGTATAAAGTGTGATACAGATTATCAAATATTTTGCTGATTTTATATTATATTTTTAATATAAAAAATCACAATTTTTCGGTGATTACTTCACAAATCACCAAATATTTTGTCTAAGAAATATGAATCAGTAACAGATAACTGAAGAAAGATAAGTTCATGAAAAATGTAAGTTATCGTATCATATCATTTGTACGTTTTTTTTTATTACACCAGCACATGAATATTTTATTGACTTAGCATATGCGTAGAATATACAATGAAATTAATAATGCAAAATTTGATCAGGCCCTCGGATTTATGACTATTGTAATTTGCACCATGTTCGTGTATAGGCACGTTGTTGCCCATGAATATTAATGGTGAAAATTACATTGTTTGGTCTACGTTCTTATTTTTCACAAAATTTGTTCAGAAAGGAACACATCTATCACCCAATATTGAAATATATTATGATGTTATTGAATCCATTGAGAACTACAAAAATTATAATTGCTGATATTTTTTTTATTCAAATGGCGTCGTCCCAAAGAAGTATTTTAGCCATTTCTAGCAATTTATTAATTGTAGAGTAGAGGCAGAAAAAAAGACTCTACTTATTTAGACATTTTTAATATTAGTTTTCAACTTCATTTAAAATATTTACATTTGTTTCCCCAACGTATATCTTACAAAAAACTAATTTTAAATTCATTTTTAAACAAATTATCTGGTTTTGCCAAAATTATAAAGATTTGATTACTGATTAAGTATCATTAAGACATTTACAATGACAATTTCAATTATTTATGAGTATATAAATCATCTAAAAATCGTTAATCCATTCTCTCACGTGATAATTAACCTTCATACGATATTTTTTCTATTTACCAATAAAGTATTCATAAATGTTTGCTCATATAATGACGCATTTTGGTTCGATATGCGTTCATTATTATTTGTTTAATAAAACAACGAATGAATGAAACTCAAATTTTATAATTTTTATACAAATGTCTTAAGAGAAGCAGTATTAACCAGTTTTATCTGTCAAATAAGTGCAAACTATCACAATTAGCACTTTTCACGGGTTAAGGATTATTAATCGTGTAAATATTCGTCATAATAGAATGTTATTTTTTAACTGATTTGTAGATCACAAGGTAATAGAAATTCAAGGAAATACAAATGTGGGATAGACAGACATTAGATATTTTGCATTAAATAAATATACTCTACTATTCTTATATAATAATTTAATCAATATAATATTGGAATATTTAATAATTTTATAAGACCTTAAAATAAAGCCAAAGCATTAAAATAATTTGAACAATAGAGAACCGTTGAAAATATTATATGTATGATAAAAGATTTTCTGAAAATTTCAAAACCCTTAAAATATTACTTCTAGTAATATATGAAATTATTTAGGTTCTCGGGAATTTTTAAAAAAATATATTGGGTGCAATACACATACTTGCAGATATGCAATATAATCTTTTCCATTCCTATATAAATAGTAACCAGTTACTGTATATATTTTGAAATATGTGAGACTTTACAAATTTTATTATTTTTAATATCAAAACCAATTAGTATCTTCATTTAAATTAATATTGAAAGAGAATTATTACGTTTTTCCTATGTTCATTCGGCAATTTAAATGGCAAGCCGCTTTTTGTCACTTTCCAATTCCATCCAAAATTTTCGTGTGTCAACTTCAAGTTTACAATGGAGTGGCTCGTGGAAAAATATTTATCTAAATAATAAATCTATTGCACAATACTAGTCAATACCTCGAGTTGACAAACAATGTGTGTATTCTAAATATTCGAATCATATAATGGCTGCGTGCGCCAAATGGACAAACCGAGCGACAAACTTTTCATGTTTGAATAATATTTAAATTTTTTTGGTTACCGAATTATAAATCATAGGTATTTTCAGATTTGATCGAATTTAACAAGATGGCAATTGACTTTGAAAGAATTGAAATTAATATTTTATAATTTATTTAAAAACCTTTGCTGGTTTAAACTACTTTTTATATATATTGTTTAAAAACGATTAAACATAGGGATCCATCATTATGTGTATGTCTATGTGTGTTCGGTTACAATATCTCGTCCACGATTTTGGGAGCACGGAGCAACCGATTTGAATGATTCGAAAAACTTTCGGGGAGATATTCTGATTAGTTTTAGGCAAAAGCAGGGAGCAAAAATGCAGAAGATAGCATTTTTTGAGATAATGGAGCATCCGATTAGAATGTTTCAAAAAAACATTTGGTTCGTACTGATGGCAAGGTACCAAAATTCATGAAATTCTTCTTAAGAAGTTTTCTTATATAGTTAAAATAAAGAATTTCAACTTTCTTCAGTTAAACTGATTTATTTTAGTTTTAAAATGTTAATATGACAAAATTAAGAAATATGAGATAAAGTCCCAGTAATTAATTGGAAAAATTGAAGTACCAGCAATTTGCCTTCAGACACAATGCCACGCACCACTAGTTAATATCCTTTGAACACTGCAAAAAGTTGCTTTTCATATAATCTTCGAGATAAAAACAATATAACCCTAAGAGCTCGATTATATTAGAAAGGTTTTGCTACAATGTATTGAATAGATGCTTTATTTCAGTCGTTTATAGGTCACTAGAATGAAGTATACTATATTAGGGACCCATTCTTTACGATTATTGAAAGCAAAAGGCTATGAAATATCGTTTCTATCGAAATAAGTATTGACCTTTTATAAAGCCTGTACATTACTTCATTTTATTACGTCGTTATAAAATGCTTGTGATGTAGATCAGAAGCATTTATCTTCAGCTTTATAAGCACCTGTGATAAAGTATGAAAATAGCGACCATTAATATAAATTTAATAGTAATTCAAATGACTAGTCAGAAAATAACATAAATACATATATATATATATATATATATATATATATATATATATATCAGACATTAAAATGTTTTCATTATATTGGATTTGATTGCGTACTTTATCACATTTTCATTTCACAATAAAATATAATGCCACATTATGCTGATTTTCTTCCGGTTATGATTTAAAATAATTTAGGACCTAAAGCCTGTTTTTGCAATACTAGTATAAGTTTATATTATTAAAACGAATTGAATCCTATATCCTTGTATCCTGACAAAGATATAAAAATACCAATTGTTTTTTTTTTAGCAAAAGATACTGAAAATGATACAACTGTAAATTTAGCACCTTTAGTAATTATAAAATATTAACAAATTATTTATTTATATAATAAATTTGATTTTGCAAATTATTTTATTAATGAGGAGTTTAGAAGGATGCAATATTTATTTCACCGCCAAATATCAATTTTCTTCCGCACTTATTATATTATTAATTAATCATTTTAGTCATTATTCATGCCTCAATTACCAAATTTCCTCCTTTATAATTTACCATAAATGCAAAGAGTGGTATTTTATTTTTGAGAGAGAACTTGCATATTAAAAATGTGTTATAGAAATACCGTGCTTTTATTTGCTTACAGCAACAGTACTAATTGTGGAATAGTTTTTCTGTTTCCATAACAAAGTCGCTTATTACTGATGGAATTTTCTGTTAGTTATATTTGCACAAAGCGAAACGTGCTGCATATTTTATTATGCACATATACAGGTACGAATTTATG